GGGAAAAAAAAAAAAAAAAGTCTTTAAGAGGTATAAGCCCATGAACCAAACCACCCAGCTACGAGGTGAATCACAACTTACAAACTTTGATTTGAAGCAAAAAAGTATTTGAAACAATGAAATATACTTATCTACATCTTGGATGGCCTGAGGGTAAGTATTCTAATAAAATTTTCATTTTAGGGAGATCTATTCCTTTAATGCTTTCATGAGGGAAAGAACTACAATTCCAAGAAGCACTGTGAATGACAACCAAATTGAAAAGGATGGCGAAAACTAGAATCATCGGTTAATGTGGTTTTTAAGCAGGAAATATATTGTTAAACATGACTATTTAATAAATATGTTTAACAAATGTGGCCTAATGGCTTTAACAAAAGCCTATACCATTGATGACCTTGTAGCTCACACTAAGTTATCGTTAAAAATCAATTCCCCTATGAAAATGAATGGGATTTTTACTTTCGGAACCCGACTGTTGCATTCTATTTGAGTAATGTGATTAAGACCACATGTTCACTGTCCTGTGGTCACCTGAAAGGCATGCGGTGTGTCATCTACACAGTGCACTCGCAGGCTGTAGTCCATAGAAGCCTCCATACTGCCGAACACAGCAATCCTTAGTCTCTTTATAGCGGCATCGGTGATGGGTTCCCCCACCAGTGCATAACAGCCTGGCTGATCCAACAACAAGTGACAGCTATGCGAATCCATCAGGCAATAGCAGGAGGTTGATTCATCATCTACTGACATTATTTCCTGTGAACCCAAGAAAGAGATGATCAAATCACCGTAACATTCATAAATTGGACTTTTTCACTTTTCAACGAATGCTTGATAGTATTTGAAAACTTGGTATATCGTTCACGAGACTTTAAAAGCGATAGTTAAAGTATGATAGAAAATTTACATTTTTCCCCCCATTTTCTCACCATCAAGCATTCTAAACAAGCATTGTTTTGAGAAATATCACAGTATATCAAACCCTCTTTGGGTTTGATGTGATTTATTAGAGAGAAAAGTAGTGAAATATGCTCAATTCGTCAAGGATAGCACAATAAAGTTAAAACTTGTTTCCATTGTGGTCCTTGATGTTAAACACAAACTTCTAAACTAATTGTTCAAACTTCTATCTTTTGTGTCCCACAGAAAACAAAAGACACAGATTATAAGCAACATGAGGGTTAGTAAATGATGGGAGAATTTTCATTTTTGGGTGAAATATCCCCAAGGAGCTCCATAAGGAGCTTTTTTGCCCTTTTTGAAGCTTGAGACCTCAGTTCAAATTTATCATAATTGCATGGAAAAGAACCACCAGTACATTATTTAAAATATAACCTTCCATAGAGGGGAAAAATCATATTGCTTTAACTGAGCAGCCTTTTCTTTCGGTCACAATAAAACCATAGGAAACATTAGCAATTTAAGTTAATTAACCTAATCAGTTTTTTAGTAGCTAACAAGACTATCAAAAGCTGTATGTGGCAAAGAGCTCTCTACAAAGTCTAATTCTAACAAAGGAAATGAGACTATATGTAATGGTATATGATTTTTTAATGATAATTTCACCAAGATGTGGGATGTGGGATGTAGGATGTAGTGGATTTGTTTTAGTGTCCAGTGCTATGAAAAGTTAAAAGTGAAATGATACTCCCAGTAAAACATCTCATAAATGTAACTTTAAATTCTAAGAGGCTTCTCATTGGTATGGAAGCCTTCAAAGAAACAATCTTCATACAGACTGACTTACAGCTGTTGCAAAAAAAAAGTGTGAAAGAATGTCAGCTCAGCCCGTATTTTTGCCAGTGTAATTGTGATCAGTGGAAAAAGCTAAATTCACTTTGCCACACTGACATAGAATCACTCACAAATCACGAATCAGCGAGGCCACTTCAGTATTTCTTTGACAAGGTTAGGCAAACATCAAGTCAAGCACAGACATTCATACAATACAGGCTCTTTTAATTTATGTGACCGCAGCTCTTCAAAGAAATGTAAATATCAAACAGAATGACCTCCTCGGAAAAAACACCCTTTGCAATCTGATAAAAAAGTATGTGTGTTGTGGAAGAGATAGAAATTCGTACTACTTTTCTTTGACAAGTCAGTGATTTTATCAGCAGTTTTTATGTAATTACTTCAAATCAATTTGTTCAAATAAAACTGTTAAAAGCCAGGCAAAAACTCAGACAGCAAATGCATTTTCATGAAGACTGTTGGTTTTAATCTCAAGGATAAGTAACATGCTTTGGAACAATCTGAAATTCATCTAAATAATGACTCGCGCTGGTGGCCAGACACAAAAAGAAGGTTATTATAAACAAACTCTGTGCCGCTACGGTAAACTTTTATTAATACGTCAACTTTCAAACCATGATGACAGTTTAAGGTTTTCAGTGGCTCACAGCAGAGAAAAACACATGGGACTAGTACAAATGTGAATGACTGTAGTAGGGTCAGGAGGGAGGACCCGTCCATGACTCCTGTCTTGATTGCCTCGTGTCAGCTCCTATTTCAGGGGGTCCTATAGTACAACCAGATCGATATATCCTGAGTCTGATGGGTTGCCTTGTCCCGATGCTCCTGCTGTTTGACTGCCATGAACTGTGTGTCTTCCCAGCTATTACAGGCTGTAATTGTTTTTTCCTTGAGCACTTCACTGCCGTAGCCTCCTCTGAGGAGCTGCTGTCCCTGGATCTCTTGTCACGAGCGCACAATCGCCTAATCAACAAATTTTTAAAACATGCGCAGCCCCAAAGGCTGCCACAAGCAGTTACGGGATGTGGTTCAAAGACTTTAGAAATATATCTAAATGGCAGCATAAAAAAATTTATCTTAAGGAGCTCACGGTATATTTAGCTGAGTAAAGTGTTAAATCATTTTTAAATGTTATGTTGACAAAGGTTGCCATCACTGTACTGTACTGGCCCAATGCTAATAATTGACAATGTATTCAATCTGAAAAACGTATGAGTCATACAGAAAAGAATATGAAATGAATTTGCTGTGAAAAACATAGAAGTCATGTCTTTGTTCCTACCTCCCACTTGTTGTCCTTGGTTTGTCTCTTGAGTTTAATGTTCCAGTTTTCAGCGCTGACTTCAGCACAATGAGCTATCGTTATGGCAACAGGACAGGACAGGTTCAGCCCTGGAGGTCCATATGTGACCTCTGGCCCTAACAGAATTTCACACCTTTCCTCTGATTGGGCACTAGTAGACAAAACGGAAAAAAAAGTATATATACACATTAATATATCACTGATAATTTCAAGACAGCCCACACCATTATTTATTTTTAAATAAATAAAATACACTACCATTCAAAAGAATTGTTTTTTCCTTGAGCACTTCACTGCCGTAGCCTCCTCTGAGGAGCTGCTGTCCCTGGATCTCTTGTCAAGAGCGCACAATCGCCTAATCAACAAATTTTTAAAACATGCGCAGCCCCAAAGGCTGCCACAAGCAGTTACGGGATGTGGTTCAAATGAATTTCACTTATAATTAGTTCATGGCACACGTCGCCTGTAGACTTAACTGTAGACTTTAGAATTCCTATATATACAGTATATACACTGTGTATATGTATATATATATATATATATATATATCTGGCCCTAACAGAATTTCACACCTTTCCTCTGATTGGGCACTAGTAGACAAAACGGAAAAAAAAGTATATATACACATTAATATATCACTGATAATTTCAAGACAGCCCACACCATTATTTATTTTTAAATAAATAAAATACACTACCATTCAAAAGGTTGGGGTCAGTAGCTTCTTTTTTTTTATTAAGAAATTACTACTTTTATTTAGCCAGGATGCATTAAAATTGATGAAAGTGACAAAATCAAAGAATCCTAAAAAACTGTTTCCACATAAATATTAAGCAGCAAATCTGTTTTCAACAATGATAATAAAAAAAAGTTTCTTGAGCACAAAATCAGCATATTAGAATGATTTCTATAGCATCATGTGACACTGTGACTGGAGTAATGGCTGCTGAAAATTCAGCTTTAAAGGGGTCATATGATGCAATTTCAAATTTTCCTTTCTCTTTGGAGTGTTACAAGCTCTTGGTGCATAAAGAAGATCTGTAAAGTTGCAAAGACTAAACTCTCAAATCCAAAGAGATATTCTTTATAAAAGTTAAGAGTCAACCACACCTACCTAAAACAGCTCGTTCTAACACCCCCTCACATGTCTACGTCATGATGTGGGAAGATTTGCATAACGCCGTCCAAATGTGCACGCAAAGAAAGAAGGCGTAACTTATTCTCGCTGTAGTATTGTTGCTGCCGCCGCCGCCATGTCGTGAAGGCGCTGTGTTTCGTTGTGAAAGCGAAACTACTTTGGTTGGCCTTCCAAAAGAGGACGATATCCGCTTCGTCATGCCTGGAGCTGATCCGTGCTGGTCGCTGAGGAAATACATCAACTTCGTGTCATGTCGATCGCCGGATCGGCTTTCACCGTGGACGAAGCAGAGTCCAGCCCGGGGTCGTCACACGTGGTTGCCGCAAGCCTGCCGGTCACTCCTTCGTCGAATCCGCTGGCCGCGCCGTTCTCAAGCATGCTCACTCAAGCCGGCCTCCACTCACTCTATTCCGCCGCTCACTCTAGGCCTCCGGCCTCCGCTCACTCAAGGCCGCGCGCGGTGTGTGACGCTGTTTCGTTGTGAAAGCGAAACTACTTTGTTTGGCCTTCCAAAAGAGGACACGACTAGAAATCAGTGGTTAAGTTGTATTTACAACACTGTTCCAGAACACTTCAACCCAAATAATCAGATGTGTGCAGCACATTTTATGGAGGACCATTTCCTGATCCTGGTAGAGTAGACTACAATGCCGGCTGTTCTGACTATTTTTTGGGCAGTGTAGAGTAGCACTTGTTTGTCATTTCTCCGATCACAAATGCAGACATGGTTTTATGTTTGCGCGATGCAACGCAACGCGTAAAAAGACAGTATAAGTCATTATAATCCGTAATTATGTGTCC